ATACTTTTCCTTTCCTCTCTGGTACATTTCTGCTCGCCTCTTCTCTTCTATTTGTCGTGTAGGGGATGTTGCACAGATCTACAGTTTGACTGAAGCCGAGCAGCAATTGAAGTCACTTACTCGTGTATCGTCCTTCAAGGTTTTGGCTAGTAATGACTCAACAACCTTGAAAGTCTACTGTCACCATGTAAGGACACTGTATAACATCCTGTACAAGCAGTACCCATGATCTAAAATGGCTTACAAATAGCTTTCTACGTGTTAATCAACTTACTCGTACGGAACAACCATGCAGCGACAAATGGCGGTTTTGGCTGACGTGGGCGCAGTAAAACAAGTCTGCCTGACAATAACCAATATTCGTCCGCATTGAGTACAGTTCACTTCTGGTGTGCGTCGGTGGCATGGTGGTTAGGACTCTCACCGACCATGCCCATGGTCCGGGGTTCGATCCCCAGCCGACGCACACTCGATACCTATGGTCGGCCTGCGAAATTTGGGCCACCGATATCCATGCTGAAAATTCCATACTTGTACTGAAAATACAGTGTAGCAGCAAGCTGTAATCAAAATAAAGAAATAATAAAATACTTACGATGAAAATGCTGACAAAATTATACAAATAAATCACTTATTTCAAATTGATCCCATGTCAATGTCCAGGTCTAACTACACTGGACCTAACGCTGTCCTTAGAAGACCTTCAGCAACAGTGTGCAATAACCAACGCGAAAAAACAGGACACATTGGCGACTCAAGAATCCTTTATTCTTGCACCAATATGGAACCAACCATAAGTTTATTATACACAAAGTCTAAGAATAAATGTCACAACAATTAATCACAATAATACTTCTGATAGTATTTCTCCGTCTTCTAACGAACAGCGTACGATGGAACGATGACTGCAGTATCGGTGACTCCCGCCAAAGTATGGAGTTGGTTTTGAGTAAACAACCATGAATTGATCGTTCATTCTTCAACTACATTGACAACCCAATTTGGATACCGCACACAACAAAGTTGTATGGAGGAATTGACTTCAAGCTTTATTTTTTCCCAAATATTTGTAATCCATCCAAAACATACTTGAGTTTTTTTGCTAATGCGAAAACAGTATTTCTATATTTCTTTATGCGCTCGATTGAATGACTAGTTAGCAGATTGTACCCATAAACTAATATAAAAAAGGACAGCAACCATGCAGTTTGACCATAAATCAAATTTATGTAATTTAAATAATACTTATCAGTGCATGTAAAACTGTTGTATCCCACATAAATAGATATAAATATATATATTATTATGGAGAGAAGAGACAAAGCTTGTACAAAGACGCGTGTGTATTCCTGCCGAAAAAAGATTTTGATTGAAATAAAGGCAGTGTTCTGTGTCGCTTTTTAACTTTTAACGGAAACTGCCCCAAATCATCACTCTAGTCTTAACATGTCAACTCTCTTCGATAGCCATGCAATCAGGACCTCTCATGAGGTTTTGAAGGACATTAATATGACGTTCAGAGGAAAAGCAAAAGAAGTCATCCAAAGACCCGTCACCACATAAGCCCAGCGAACCACGAACGCTGTACACCATATTATCTTTGCTAAATGTAGATTCAAAATTGCCCAGATATTTATTTGTAGCAGTCTCCACTTCGTTGACAGAATGTGACTAATGCTTGGACGGCTTGAAAAATGCGAACTTATAGGCCAGTCCAAAAAGTTGCTCAAGAAGCAAAGTGGAAAGAATACCTCAGGTAAACTACCACTTGATACTGTAAAACTGGACTACATTTATTGGCTTTCCACCGATCAGCCTCACCTAGTTTTCTAGTCGGTCCTATGTCAAGGAGAAGAGGGAAGATAGGACGTAGTGCTAAAAACCCTATCACGGCAAATCAATCTAGTAGCTACAGAGGTTTCAGAGCACAAACAAAACATAAAACAAACCTATTCTCTTCTGGAATCTGGAGAAGAAATGGTGCGGGATAGTGAAAGCCTTCGAGAAGCCAGTCACATGATGTGTCTTCTTTCTTTGAAAGCAGAAATGGTCATTGGGACATGAAATGTTCGCACAACATATGATGTTTGGAAGGCTGCCCTGGTTATCGAATAAATGAGAAAATATGGCATAGGAGTGCTAGGAATCGGCGAGAGCAGGTGAAATGGATGTGAACTCTCCAAATGGTTACCTAGAGAGTCGGTAATCTATTCCGGTAACCCAGATGACGACCATAAGCTCACTGAGGAAGTAGCAATCATGATGTCATCAACAAAAGCCAAGGCTCCAACGCAAGAGGAACCAATGTCCTTCTGAAGGATAATGATAGCAAGATTCATCCAAAAAGGAAGAAAGGGTACAATTACCCAATGTTGCGCACCTACAAATAACTCAGAGCAGTAGGAGAAAGAAGACTTCTATAGAAAACTGCAGACAATAATGAGTAACATCCTAGGTGGTCACATCAGAATCCTAATGGGTGATGTGATTGCTAAACTGGGAGCAAAATATACAGGGAGAGAACTTTTAGAAATCGAAACGACTGCTCAAATTATTGACCGACGACCTGTAATATCGTAGAAGATCGATGGTTTTTGTGAACCTTTGTTGCAAAAAGCACGGCAGAGGGCAGGGGAAGCAGAAGATACCTATTCAAACAAACAGAATGACACAATCATCATTCAGTAGATAAAAAAGCTTTACGAATCACATAAAGAGATATAGATCATACTTGTTTGCTCGTTCCATCCTTCTGAGCTCCTTAATCAATTACGCCATTTGTGTAGCCATGTGATACCGTATTATCGAGGCTCTACAAACTCACCATGGTCTAGAGGCTCTCGTCCAAACGAATGATAGCGGAGAATTATTCGCAGACTTCTGTGCTATTAATGATTTGGTGATCTGAGGCAGCGAGTATAAGCACAAGGAAATGCACAAAGCAACATGGATCTCACCTGATGGAAACACCACAATCCAGACAATCTTCGTCTCAGTGTTGCTCAAGGAAGTGGAGGCACAGCTAGCCTACTGAACACAAAGTCAAGAAGGGGAGCAGATGTGAACTCAGACCACAATCCAGTTAAAGGAACATTCAAGGTGAAGCTGAAATCCCTGAAAATAAATGGAAACAGACCAATGTAATTCAAGCTCAAGGGATGCCTTCACCACATATCAGGTCACAGCGAAGTCAGACACACTATGTGATATCACCGAGGAAAACCTCATGAAAGAACAGTGAAAATTCTTGAAAGTGATATTCGCGGAAACGTTTAGAACCGCTTTAGGAGGAGAGAATCGGAAAATCAAAGAATGGCTCTCAACGGATAAATGTAAGCTGAAAGAATAGAGAAGAATGGTGAAACAACCGACAGACCAATGCAAAGATGGGCAACAGAAGGAGAAGCTGAGTTCAGTGTACACTGCACTGAATAAAGAAGTGAAGGAAAGCGCTAGGAAAGATAGATGAGAATTCTACGAAACACTGACTGGCAACTGATGCAGAACAGGGTGGCCGTAGGTAAAAGAGACCTCAGAAATCACCTCAGACAGTCGGGTCTCTATCCGAGAAAAGATCAACGCAGATAGAACCTATAATAGTAGTCAAGGGAGCCTAATTTCCAACTTCTAAGGACTACTGAATCGGCTGTCGCCCGGAAATTGTCCAGAAATACCGCTAACAGCTACGGAAGTGCCAGTGGACACCAATCGTCCAAGAAAGCAGAAGTCCTGATTGAGATTAAGCTGTTGAAAGCATGGAGTGCAGAGGAACCGGGGAAATTCTTCGAAGCTATATTGTGCAGAGGTCTGAGCTAATGATTGCATGGCTGCATTTGTCTTTGAAATGCAACGTCTGTTCTCAGATGACCACATATTGTCGGAAAAACCACGCGATTGCTTAAACGACAGCATACGGTGTCACATTTATAAAAATATGCAACAGAATAATGGCTGCCTATCTACGTAGCTAATGAGCTAGTTGATGTATCATAAAAACCCTGAGTAGGTCTAAATGATTTCCGTTGGATAAAATTACGCCTGCTTCATGCGTGCTATCTAACACACCGACAGATGTCCTAAAAGAAACTATGAATACTTTCTGGCCCACAAGTACCACAACAGACACCTAACAAGAGCACCTACTCATATGTTCCTAGAAGTAATTTTCCTCAGACGAGCCAAATTTGTACGCTATGATGATTGAACTTTTGACCTTCATCCAGAGTGAATTGCAGTTGAGTTGGTTACAGGACCGTTTCAGCGATCATTTGTGGACGAAGTTGGATTTGATGACGTACGCTAATGTGGACATGTGTCTTATGATCGATATCCATCTTCTGTTCCCATCAACACTTCGGGGCAGGATAATAGAGCAGGATTAAATGGCTTCAATTCTTGCATCAGAACTCACATATGTATCATACATTTGCTTGCATCTTCATGCAAAGTTGAGAATAGAATTGACTGCAACATGACCACTAGTTTCACCAACAATTAAAGAAGTCAGACAGTGCATGTTCTTCCATTGACTATGGTGGTGACCTCACATATAAATCAAAGCCGACTGGAATGAGAAGTTCAGATGGCAGACATGTGTTGCTGCAAGAAGTAGACTTCTGCCCTGGTTCAATATAACATCAAATTTTGAAGTAGTCTACCTACATTCATTCAAAACTTTCACATTAACTGTCAAATGCTGACTGCACTCCAGCTTCATTTCGCTTTGAATCTTCTACTTTTGCAAAGAAATTCCACAACGAATTAATTGATTGTTTGATATACTGAGTGAAGCTTAATAGTTCTGTCAAATGATTTATTTCAAGAATTGAAACCTATTCACATATGTTATCTACAACAAAGTGGGATTAGCACATACATTAGGATCCAATCAACATACACCTTTAAATTTCATTTATCGGCAAACATCTCCCATCGACAGAGTTTTCTACAAACCACTAAATTGTTTGATTTCTTAATCTAGGTCGAATATCAGCTGTACACACTTTTGGCGGTAATTCGACTCAACTTTTCCCAACTGGAGATGGAAGTCCAAAGGAGGGGTCTGCGTTTGTTAAACACATATGAGCCAGTGGAATTAAAAAAGGTATGAGTCAATTGCGTGATAGTTCATCGGTAATCAGACGGTTACCAAGCCAGGTGTTAGCACTCATTCCAAACCATCTCCAGTTGCAACTGTTCGAAAGCCTGTGAAAACTGCTAACCAGCCAAAGATCCTGAAATTTCCTGTTTACGTGGACCCTGTTGAGGACAAATGTCAACACTGCGGCAGTCTCCGACTGAAAGTGCCTGGAGAACAGGTGAAGGAAACGAAAGAGATGTCTGTGCAGGTGAATCGGACAGATCTGAATGAATTGTTGTGTTCAGGTTTGTTTCTTGCCGTATCACTAGCAAAATCTAGTTAATCCACCTTCAGATTACTGGGAGTGTCTTGCTGAGGAACGACGAGTAGCGCTGAAAGAGGCTTTGGATGAGAACAAACAGGTATGCATAAGATTACTTAGTATACAGTTGAATTTATAGTTATGTGAATTGGTTGAGAAGATGAATCTGGAGATCGACAGACTAAATTCTATGATTTCTCAAAAAGAGTCTACTGAAAAAGCTGAAGGAGATTCATCATGATCACATGACAGTTTCGATATGGATATCAAGATAGTGAAGTAATGTATGACTTATAAATACTTGCAACTTTGTATTTGTGATGTTTTGTAATATTTGTTGTACATAGACTTTTTCTTTTGGCATTTTCACCCGTAGTTACTCAAAGAGATTAGTGTAACAATGGGATAGAGGGCAAAGGTTGTTGTAAACCTGACTTTAAAACAGGAAGTAATCATTTGTGCTGTGACAGAGTTACTGTCTAATGCCACAGATGGAGCTGTTACTACTGAATCAGGAAATGAGTTTCAGTTGTTGACCACTATGTCAGAGGATTTAAATATCACACGTATTTGATTCGTCCATGGTTTGAGCACCCTTTCATGGTGTTCTAGACGGAGAGGACAGATTAGAAAGATCAATCCCTCAACCATCCTTTAATATACGGTATTGCAAAATGAAGTCGCCTCTCCTCCTCTGGCACGATGATGGGAAGACATTTAAATGATCCATCTTGTCATAAAGAAGGTGTGAGATACCACTTACTAGTTTGGTTCCTACCCTCTGTACTGTTCCCATGATATGTGCCACTTTCTTGAATCATGGGGACACCGCTGTATGCAGTATTCTGGATAAGGCTACAAATATGTTGCATAGTTTACGTGGAACATAGACTCATGTAATCGTTTGAAAGCCCTTTGAAATGCTCATAGCATCCAAAAAGCGTTAGCTGTGGCTGCATTACAATTTGCTGTTGTTTGTCAAGCCATGGCTGACAATAATTCCTAAGTCCTTTTGTCCCTTAACATCTATCACTTCTGTGTCCCCGAGGTTGTACAACTTATAAGACCTCTGACCTAGGTGCATTATCTCGCTTTCCTTGGAATTAATTTCCAGACTCCAGAGGTTCGATTATTCGGCTAATTTACTTAGATCGTTTTGTAAGACCGACCTATCATTGTTATTATTTGCAGTTTTCTATTTCTTAATATCGTCCGGAAATAATAGTGAAGATGAGGTAGGAATTTTGGAAAGTTCACTTACGTATAATAGGAATAGCAGGGGACCCAGTACAGTCGCTTGAGGTACTCAAATCAATACTGTTTTCCACTCTGACAGTTAGTCACTAACGCCTACCTTTTGCCTTCTATCCATTAGGTAATTTCTAAACCACTGACACAGGCCTTGGTCTAATCCAAAACCTTTTAGTTTACTAAGGAGAGCAAAGTGGTGTACTTAATCGAATGCTTTAGCAAGATCGATAAAAACGACGTCAAAAAAGCTTTTTCTTAAGCTGTGTGGTCGTAATTATATTTAACAAAGAATCCATAAGGCCAATCGGATACTGGTAAAATTTTTCCTGGAAAGCGTATTGCGTAATGTAAGTTGTAGCTTAGAAGGGGTGACTAACTGGAGATTAGAAATGTGGCATAAGTTGGAATGACGTAATAAGTGTTAGAAAATGACTATTCAACATGGTTGTGTAGAGTAAACAAGAACTAGTGGGAAGACGATAAAGTGTTTTTATAAAATCCGTATGAAAACGCAATGTTATTAATAAACAGTTATAGAGTGATAAAATAAGGATGATGAACTTACATAATATGAAAGGAAGCAAAATTATGTTGAGGACGTCACTCTGGCCACGGTAGGGCAGCGAGGGGATGTATGTGGTGCTTTTGAGTGCAGATGTCTGGTTTCAGATCCCCAAAAGCCAGTGATTCAGCTATGTACAGATGGCGCACTTGAAGTCCTTTCGTACAATATTGAGGGACTGCGTGTAGCATTGTGTAACATTCATGCGGTAGGGAGTGCTCGATATCCAGATTTGACAAGGTGTTTGAGGACAGAGCTGCTAGTATTCTTTTTTGCTCCTCTGACTGTCTAGCTAAGCTGGGCAGTGTTCCAGAATATGTTTGTGGAGTTGACGTTGCGTACGGCCGATAAACTTTTTTCCATACGAGCAAGTAAACTGATAAATACACACTGAGGTGGTCGAAATAGCTATCTTATCCTTAACGTTAGACTGGATAAATTGTCGGCTGGAGGATGTGATGCGTAAGATGTCTGCTTGAAATGTCTTCTTCAGACATTTAGAAAGGCGGTTACTAAGAATTTCTGCTTCGATGTCACCTTTGAATTCCAGGTTCATGAAGAGAGTTTTCTCAGAAACAGTTGTGATTTTTGGTGACGGATGCCTTTCCTTCATGTTTTTGTCGATTAATCTTGGTGGATACCCGTTCTCTAGTAGGATTTCACACAGTGAATTTAACTCCCCTATCGTGTCTTCCGAACAGACTTTTCGAATCCTTGAACATAATGTACGTACTAGGTTTTGCTTTCGGATCAGTGGGACGAAGCTCTGGAAGCTGGTGAACTGTCCGGTCCATGTAGGCTTGTGATATATTGATCTCTGGATCGTACAGTCTTGTCTTCTGGTAAGTAGTACATCCAGGAATGGAAATACCATGTTTGATTCACGTTCTAAGTTGAATTTTATTGATGGGTGTACCTCGTTGAAGGTTTTGAGGAGGTAACTCTAAATGAACTTTCTCATCACAAACTCTAGACGTATCATCCACGTATCTCTTATATAGGTGCAGTTGACTTATCAAAGGATCGAGGATGTTGTTTTCGAGACTCGCCATGAAACAGTTAGCTAGGAGTGGACCGTGAGGTGACCCCATAGCTACATCATCTTTCTGTACATAGATTTGTTCACTGAATATGAACTGGACATTAAACGTACATCTGAGAAGTAGTTCCTTCAGGTAGTCGATGCGAAGAGGAACTTCTAGGTTGTTTGTTTTCGATGAAGTCACAGATGAAGCATATTGCCTTGGTCAGTGGGATGCTTGTGAATAGAGAGGTGACATCTAGTGATGAAAGCATTTGTCTTTCAAACACGTTGATATCTTTCACTAAATCGATGAAGTCGATTGTATCACTAAGGCTATACTTTGTCATATGTCTTCTTACCGGTTCAAGGATATCTGCTGGTCACTTCGCGATCTGATGATATGGTGAGTTGACTATGTCTATGATAGATCGAAGTGGAACATTCTTCTTATGCACTTTAGGCAATCCATATGGTCTTGGAATAACTGAACTGTGCATGGCTTTATTTGTTCATATACCTCCGATGTTATGACTGAATCTTCTTGCATTTTCTTCGGCAATTTTGTAAGGAGGTTTTCTGATGAATTTCCGGTTGTGTCCTTCTGGTTAGTTGGTTTGAGGAATTTGGAGTTAGCTGATAGTATGTTTGTTAATTTCTCCATATATTCGGATCTGTTCACTGCCACAATCCCGTTGACCTTATCAGGACGGATGGGGATTGTGTCTTTATTTTCTTGAAGTTGTTTTCTGTGTTCCTTGGTCAGCAGATAACGATGACTCGGTCGTGTATGAATGTACTTGTAGCAGTTGTAGAGAATTGAAGCTTCGAAATGTTCGAGATCTTTTTCTGAAGTAGGTGACAAGTCAAATGTCTGTGAGGTTGAATTCTCGAAGTGGACCTTGTTTTGTAATTCGTTGATTTTACTCGATACATTGCAAAATTTCAGACCAAGTGATAGGAGTAAGAGGAATATTCGAACAGTTAAAGACATCATTTTCAGGATTCTGTGGAATCGATGAGAGAGTTTCAGATGGTTTCAGGGAAGTAGTATCGTCGCAACGTGTTCGTATGACATTGGATACATAATCCTGAAACGTTTGTTGTTCATCACCAGATAGTTCATACAAAGCATGAGTTCTTTGGTAAAAGATGTTTCGTTCGACGTCGAGTAGGCGTGAGTAGATGACGTCGATGTGACTTAATGTATGACGTTGTAATGTCTTTGAATTAGGGTAAATGTGATTCTGACGGAGATTCTCCCAATACTGTTTTGGATACTCATGCTTATCGATGCGTCGCTTCAGAAAATCAAGCACTCTCAGTGTAAGTTCTCTGTTGAAACAGGTATGCAATCTAGGGGATGTTAATTCCTGCCAATTGATATGTGGGGCATTAAAGTCACCTACTGTTACACACCTGTTTCTGCCCTGAGGTGATTTAGTACGAAGTCATCAGCCTGACTGGCAGGACTCCTATAAATATCGTCAGTCGTCACAGTGCCATTGCTGAAGTTAATTAGGCAGCTTGCGGCTTCACTAGTGCACCTGTCGTGACAACGTTGACCTAATTCCTATGTCATCCCGGATGCATAGAGCAACCCACACCACCTTTACGACTAATTACTCTGCCTGCTGTAATGCAGATGTATCCAGGTGTGAGTGGAGTTAAGTCTACACATACTAACAACCACTTTTCAGTGACAGTATTCACATGAGGTTGTAGTCTTTCAGATAATACTCCTAGTTCAGGGAGTTTTTTCAATGATCAAACGCATTCGGATAGCATGCTGAAAAACCTAGGTGTTCATTCGACTTATGAGAAGAGGTCTGAGCAACATAGGTTTCTGAGACGTCACTACTCGAAAATGCAATGGTTTAAGGTCTTTTTCTAGTCGGGTCTTTAATTGTGCCATGGTTTCTCGTACTTTACTTCTATCTTCCAACAGCCAATCAGGCCTTATTCTCAACTTTTTATCCTTGATCTCAAATGTGTTGTTGAGAATAATGTTCTTTTCCAACATGTTCCCCAGTACTATCTTGAGTAGTCGTTGGGAGCTTTCTGTAGCATTAACATTTCTTTTACCGATCCTAATGGTCTTTATAATATGGACTCCATTTATTTTTTCAGGGAATAACTCACGCCTAATGGAGCTAACCGCCTCGAGATCAAATTATTGTTTAATTTTCGTCTCCAATTTGTAGTTTGATTTTGATGCATATGATGTGATATCCTTGAATCTGCTTTTGTGAAGTGCACAGCGCATAATTTGAAAACTTTGCTTACTAAACTCTGTGATGATTTGTATTTCGTGCATACATTGTGGGTGGCGGGATGTGTATGCTGTGTCGACAGTCGGTAATTGTAGAAGTTGATTGACGGTCTGTCTATCTATCTACACTTACTGCTACATAGTCGACAGTATGAGAATGTTCTGCACTTTGATACTGTCAGCGCATTGCTCGATTGTCAGAACCGGACTTGGTGTACTGTTCACTGAGGTGGGGGTGTGAA